ACAACAGACAGAAGAAAAAAATGTGAATGATATTGGTACAGATAAATACATTGTAGTTGGAGCCTTTAGTTGTCTTATTTATGAATATGGTTCATTAGAGACTAATATTAATTAGTATTACTTGGTTAAAAAATGCACTATCTATGTTTGAAGGTTTATATAATAGCCCGCATACCGGTATGGTTCATACCGAATGTGAACCGGAACAGTGAAAGGATCACAAAACTGGTATTCAATTCGGTTCTACACTCCATAACCAGATAGAAAACCGATTGGTTATGACCGGTCCGAGACCACAGCTAGCTGTCTAACAGAACCGGAGACTGGAAACCATTCTGAACATTTTTCCAGCAGAACCAGTAGTAGTAAGTTTTCCCTTTGTGTCGAAATATGGGTAAACGTAGGAGCGTCAATTTTAACCCGAAATCTATCCAAAAAATTATCATACTTTGGATCCAAAATTATAGACCCGAAAAAATTCGGATTTTCGGACCGTATTCAAATCCTATATCAGACCGATCTGAAAATTCGACCTAATTTTTAAAAAAATAAATGAAAAAATTTATCAATGTAGTGGTCGTGCAAAAGATATATGTGTCAATCTTGTAACGAAGGTCAATGTGGTTCGTCTGCGAAAATGTACGACAAGCATTGTGTATCTATTTTCACATTATTACATGCTCTCAACCTCCAAAGCAACGGTCACCAAACCCAACAAGCAAGGCCCCAAGTTTCCATCTTTTTTAGATTCAATGAATTCCATTTAATGAAATCAAAACCAGGCCACTGTTTGAGGAAATTTCAGAGAAACTCGTAGCATATATATATATATATATAAAATTAAGAATCGGTATTAGGTAAAACGAAAATCCCTAATTAATCATAATCTAACGTTTTTTTTTTTTGAATAAGAAGCAAACTAATGTTTTCCATTTTTCTTGGTCATCAGTTATAATAATCTACAACTTCCCAAAATTTCTATTTGAAAAGATAGAATAATACTGAATTCGTAGAATAGACCATTTGAAATGTGGAATAATATTTTTGGTTTTTATAATCAAATTTCTGACCAAGGTTACTGGTATAAATGGATAAGATCCCTATTTCATAACAAGCTTTCACACTGCTTAATTATTATTATTATTATTTTTATTCTAATGAACACATTAATTATGTTGAATTTTTGGTGAGTTTCCATGCATTTTAACGAATGTATAAGTGTCTCATGGTTGGCATTTGAAATTCCTTGTTTGTGAAGATCAAAACGGGGATTAAAATAGAAAGACGAGTCAAGATGAAACATCCAATATACGTTTGTCCAATTATATGTATGTATGTATGTATGTATGTATGTATATATATATATATACACATTTAATTAGTTTTGTGTGTGTGTGTATATATATTTATACAGCATATTGAAATATCAAAAGAAGAGAATAGTGTGAAATGAGGAAGCTTGCCATTTCATGGGAGAGAGAAAGACCGCGTGGAACCACACCACTTATTGTTTATGAACATCCTCCTCCTTTCCTTTCACACTTTTAAGTTTTAACATTAGATTACTGTCTTTTATTCTAATTTAATCTTTTTACTAAGTGCCTCCCACTCGCCTCCCTTGGCGCGTGTATCTCATTTCTCTGTTCATTGTTCCTACCCTACCTAGTGTCATAACTTGGAAAACTTTTATATTTGGGTATTAACAAGGTGACGGGATTAGTATAATACACCTATAGTTTAGACAGATATTCAAAATAAAAATATAGATATTTGTTTGTAAATAATATATATGTTATATCATTAATAATATATCTATAAACACAATTTTAGAAGACCATTAACATTGTTTTTTAGCTACTGGATTTGGAAACGACGTACATTACACAAGATTGCAGTTGTTTTTTGCGTGGATTATAATAATCTTTTGCAAATTGTTAGATATCTAACAATTTTTATCAATTATAATAACCTTCATTTTTTCTATTAATTTTGATTATGTATAAATATATCTTATTCTATTATAAATCAATTTGATAACCTCCAAATATTTGTCTATATCGTTAAAACATTTATGTTTAACTATATTGTTTTCAACGACGAGTTGACCAAGTAATGGGTTAGATCTAGAAGACCGGATAACGCACGCGAGAAGGAAAGCGCGTGGCGCGTGAGAATCTAGAAGTCCCCTAAGTCACCAAAGTTACACGAGGGGGAAACTTCAACAAAAAACGACACGACTCCTTCCCCTTCCTTCTTTGGGTTTCCTCAGCTACGCGGTGACGCAAACCGTGACACACCACCTGCTTCCTTGCCCTCCACGTCACCAGGGGCATATCCGTCATTTCACCATAGTCATAGTCAGCCACCCCACCCACCCTCTCTCTATATATATCTATACAACACTCCGACAAGACACAACACACACAAAGTCACAAACATAAAAAAAAAAAAAAAAAAAAAAAAAAAAAAAAAAAAAAAAAAAAAAAAAAAAAAAAAAAAAAAAAAAACAACAACAGACAGAAGAAAAAAAAAAGTATTTGACATGGAGAGGAGGTCGGAGATTCAGAGGGTGGAGGAGGATGATACGGCGGCGAATTGCCTGATGCTGTTATCCAGGGTCGGCCAAAACGACGTCGTAGAGAGAAGAGTGTTCACGTGCAGGACGTGCATGAAGGAGTTCACGTCGTTTCAGGCGTTGGGCGGTCACCGAGCGAGCCACAAGAAGCCTATCCCCCACCACCACGACACCAAGTCCAAGCCCAAAACGGCGTCATCTCATTCTTGCCCTATCTGCGGCCTGGAGTTCCCCATGGGACAGGCTCTCGGTGGCCACATGAGGAGGCACCGTCACAACAACGGCGGCGGCGCGTTGATCACACGCGCTCTCTTGCCGGAGACGATGGTGATGTTGAAGAGATCTACCAGTGGTGGCAAGAGGGTTTCGTGTTTGGATTTCAACTCTGCCATGGCGGCGGCGGCGGCGGAGAATTTGAATCTCAAGCTGGAGCTTGGAAGAACTGTTTATTGATTCATTTTTTTTTTAATTTTTAATGTTCATTTGATTTATTCGTAGGTATATAAATAATAACGTAATCACACACGCATGGAGGTTTCATCGTAGACTCATTGGGTCGGCTCCTTTAGTTTGTTGATTAATATTTCCGCTGTGAATTATATTTTGGTTATATTAATTTTTCAAATACACGAGATTAATTATTATTATATTATATTTTATATATATATATTCCGTTTCAATTTCTTCTATGTAATGTAATTAGGTACGTTTTTTTATTAGGTTTCCCCTCCCCTAAACTTAGACAAATGTCATCTGACGCGGTTGAGCTAACCTTAATGCCGTATTAGATAATTAATTAAGCGATAGTTTGCAATATATATATATATATACATACATATGATAAGGAAAAAAATTCGAATCATTCTCTCACAATTGGAATGAGTGTAAAACGAAACAGAATCGTACACACACAAAAGAACATTAACACTCGTTGAAATTTGGGGGCAAAAAATGAAACCATGCATGATTTGTACACGACGTAATAGGGATAAAAAGCATGTATTTGTTAGATGATTTTGGTGTGTTAATGAGTAGGTCCATGCCCCCACTCAATTACTTAAATTTTTGTTATTTCCTTCATAAAATTATAAAATAATTAAGTAATATTTATAGATGCCCCATTTAAAAAATTTATTTGCCCCCACCACTTTTTTTTCTTTTCGTATCTCAATTTCTTTGTGATCTCACTATTTTTTTTTAATTTACTCTTTCTTTCCTAAAATCTAGGGTTAAGTTACTTAATATACAATTTTTTTATATTTTTATCTTTTTCATATATACATATAAATCTCTAAAAATATAAAAAAAAAATACAAAATCTACAATTAATAGGATTAAAATTATAAATACTGTGATTTTAATTTTAAAAAATTATTATTTTTATTAATTTCTTTTCTATATTTTGATCATATTCATTAATTTATTATTCTATATATTTATTTAATTTTGTATTTGACTTGATAGAAAACCCTTACCGTCAAATAATCTTCACGTAGGAAAATAGAAATTATTGGCAAAAAACTCTTATCGTCAAATAATCGCCACGTAAGCAAATAGAAATCCTATGTGACTGGGAAAAATATCAATAATCGATTTACAGTTTCTAGAATTTAATAATCGATTTGAAGAGATAAATTCATAATTTTTCATTTGTATGATATGAAAGTTTTAAATTCTATTGACTCATTTCGTGAGTTTAACATTTCAAATCTAATGAAATTGACTATATTTTATCAAAAAAAATTGTGAATAGATTTTATCGAAAAAATATATTTTTAGATAATTACAAATGATATTATTATGTATAGATTTAAATAATAATAAAAAACAGTAGTATTTAGTTGTAAAATGTAAATATTTTTTAGATGATATATATTTATTAGTTTTTTTTATTTTATATGTATTTTAATTGTGTCCCCATTAATCTTTTTTCCTTGATCCGCAGGATTCTCAAATCTTTTAACTTGAAAATAATCAAATATCAGTAACTGTAATCAAATATCGCCTCAATTCGATTGAGATATATCATATATATGTATGTATGCGTGTGTGTGTATATGTATGTGTCTGGAAGGTACTAGATATACACTTTAAATGATCAGATTAAACAAATGCAAAAACATATGGTCAAAAAACTAAACTACCAAACACAAAACACATGTATTGTGTGGTAATATTATGTGGTGGATGTCTTTAAAAAGATACGCCCGATCATTGATCTCTATACACAATCACATATTTTTCTTAAATTTCAACGTGTTTTGAAATAGATTGAGGATTTATTCGGGAATGAAACCCAATTTAAAATAAATAAATAAATAAATAAATTGTATTGACGTATAAATTTAAAACGTGAACTCAAGCTAATTTTTTTATAATTAGAACCTTTGACCCACTTCATCTCCTAAGCACATAATCAAACTTTAATCATACAATTAATTGTACTCCTCTTGTCTACTGGTAGAATCGAACCCAAGACTTCGAAATGATTTTGTCATTTCTCAACCACTTTACATCAGCTAATGGGTAACTAATTTACATAGATACTCTTTTACTAACATATAAATTCTCAAATAACTCTTGTATAAATTCCAAAATATGCAAAATCTTGACAATACACAATACCATAGTACGTATAGTTGCTCATTCGTTTCACGTTAGGTTCCATTCTTAAGAGTGGTTCTTAATCTCTGTATTGTTCTTTTTACATTAGGTTCTATGCTTAATGGAAATTTCGGGGTGTAATATCAAAGGGTAACCGGAGAAGTGTAATAAAATTGTTGTGTATGATCCAAGATTGGGTGACTCAATTAGTAAAGAAAGTAGTCTTTTCTAAACCGGATTCGAGTTCTCATTTGGAGAAGGGTTTCGAGATGTAGTCGGACCAAATGACCGATGAACTTCCAGATTATAAAAAAAAAATTGTTGAGTCTGTGACTGTAATAAACGAAGTAACAGAAGACGAAGTAACAAAAGAGAGAACAGAGGTAACGGGAAACAACACAAACGAAAAGTCTCAAGTCACAAAAATAAAAGAAACGTATCCGGCCTGAATGATATAATATAAGACTTCCACTACCCTTCACACAAACTAGAAATCACATTTTGGAACGAATCGGAATAAGAAGAAAGTGAACAATTACAAAACCACCCATACGAAAAATCAGTAATTCAGTTTTCTTCACTTCACCTCTTTTGTTTGTTTCACTTGGAATTCTCATACCCACGTCAAGGCTGTTCTGTTCAAGTTCCACAGCATGCAGACTTCTGCGCAGCCTGGCCAGATCCAGCTCCCTGGTCCGCTTGGCTTATCTTTATCGTCGAGGGCTGAGATTTAACATGCGGAAAATATTTGTTTTTTCCCCTTTCACGCGCCAAAAAAAGAAAAGAAACATGATGAAACAAACCTCGGCCCTCGAGTCGGTATCTGCAAGCCTTTGCTTTATGTCCCTTGCGATCGAGAAGAAGACTTCTTCAACGTTAAGGTTTGTCTTGGCACTCTGTAACGTTAAGGTTGGATCTTGTTTAGGTGGTGTTGTGACTCATGAGATTAAAGGATCAAGAAGATGATTGGTTGGCTTACTGTCTCGAAGAACTTGATTCCATACTCGTCAGCGAGTGCCTGACCCTTTGATGTAGGCACTGCCTGAAAATGTGTTTAGGAGAGAAAGAAACAGTATATTAGTTTGGATCAGAGGTGAATCGGGAAAGCCGGATTAAATTTAGTGTCAACTGGCGTTTTTACCCTCTTGCTCTCATCCATGTCGGCCTTATTCCCTACCAAGATCTTGTTAACATTGTCCGAGGCATGCTGCTCAATATTGCGAATCCAGTTCCTGATGTCTGCAATAATGCCGAGAAACCAACTCCGAAGAGTAAGACCAAAGATTCATATGTAGGAGACTGTATGAGAGGAAGGATCCTTTCAGATAAACCCGCATGTGAAAGAAAGACTTAGTGTAAGAAAGTTTACTGTTGAAAGATGATTCGTCTGTGACATCATACACCAGCAAAATGCCCATAGCCCCTCGGTAATATGCTGTGAAAATGTGAAGGAAAAGAGGAGGTGAAAAGAAATTCTTCAAACTAGTGTTGAGACTGAGACCTATCAATTTCAACCGCTGAAAAGGCCCATAAACATCAAAATGCACTTATCTACCAAGAGATAAACCATATATCAAGTACCATTCACTAGCAAATCATCATTGGGAAAATACAACAGATATACTTCGGCCCTAGAGCAGTATGACCTATCAATGTGACATTTCTTAGACCTTTTAAAAAAACTGTCAATTGCCATCTAGACCAGTCTCTATTGCCAATGTGTCCGATGATCTTTCTTATTCAATTCATGTTGTACTTGTAAGCCAAAATACTATTTCAACAAGCAGTTCACAGGAAAAGATGGACTCACCGGTGGTGATTGTTCGAAACCGTTCTTGGCCAGCTGTGTCCCAAATTTGAAGCTTGATGCGTTTGCCATCAAGTTCAATAGTTCTTATCTTAAAATCAATGCTGCATCAAAGCAAAACAAACAGTGACGGTCAGACATCTAGGAATAGATAAACAGACATCACTGTGATTTAATCTCTCCACGGCTGAAGGAGCACAAACCCAATGGTGGTAATGAAGCTGGTGGTGAAGGAGCCATCAGAGAAACGTAAAAGAAGGCAACTTTTACCGACACCTGCAAGAGGGATTGTTTGAAAAGCAAGTTAGACAAATCTGAATACATAATAAAGACAAACTCAACATAGATTGAAAGAAAATCAGAAAATAGTGACGAATCAGCCACATAAATAATCAACTACTAAACCCAAATCATCATGGGAGCATTGACAGAACAATCTTTAACATAAAACACGATGTAAGCAATATCGTAGTGCTTAGATCGGTTCGAGAGGGAATATGAAATCTGGCATTTCGAGAACGGTACAAACAAATTAAATGCATAACAAAACAGAATAGATGTAGCACAATCTGGTGATCCAAGGAAAAATTGAAAGCGCTTGGTTCCCGGAATACGCTAGAAAAGAAAAGAACACACCAGAGAAGCTTCAGATCACGTACCGCTATCTCCGATCAACAGAAGCTTTATGAGATAATCGTAATCGGCTCTAGCCCTAGCAGGAGGAGCGGCCATCGAATCTAACAGCAGAAACCATAGATCAGATCAAACCAAATGATCTAATGTTAATCCAAAACGGAAGAGATCAAAATAGCAGAGACGGAGGAATCGGGCATAATGGCGAAGAACACGTACCAGATCAAACGAAGAGGATAAGAGCCGTGGTAATCGGAGGAACGAGAGCAACTGATATGGCGGACGGCAAAAAATGCGCCACTCCCGATCTAGCTTCCTCTCTTTGCTTATTTGCCTTCTGCTTCTCCTTCTCCTCCCTCCTCTTCTTCGCGTGTACGATATCACCTTCGGCGCACGTTAGCGCCCGGGAGAGAGAGAGAAAGAGAAAGGGCCAGAAGGAAGCCTTATGGGCCGTTAAATCAAAATCCTATAGCTGGACCAACTAAGCATAAGACAGGTGGCAATTTATTATTGGGAGGATGGAGCTGACACGTGTCTATTGTGGGGGTTATTTCGAGATGACCACTGAAAAAGAATAGTCAATTCACACAGGTAATATCTGCTTTGGCATTTTCTAACCAAGGGAAACTACCGCGGTAAATCCTGTCACTAGTAAGTAATCAAAATATCACCATCCATCTATTGTGCTAATTATATCAATTAGAGATACTCATAATAATTCGATCAATCAAATTTTATCTTTACATATATATACATATACATTATTATATTAATACATGTTCATACAGATTAATATTTTATTTTCAATATAAAATACTCACTTTTTGTGCAAGAAAATAACTATATACCAAATTTTATGTGTATATATATATATATATATATATATTCATATAGATTAATATTTTATTTCCCAGCTAAATGCGCATTATTTTTGTGCAAAAAGAAAAACTCTACCAAAATTTATTTAATTAAAATAAATCAGACAACAAAGGAATCTGCCCAAGATTTAGTGCACCAGTTAAAGGGAAGAAAGAGAATATATGAAGGTGATGGTTGGGTCCGAAGTCTTAAAGAACTCAGTAATTGAAACGATCAGTCTTAACTTCCGAAATCGCAATAGGAACAAAATGACATATTACTAAACAACAATGGATGACGAGTGAAAACCACTTGCTTTCAAAGAGCAAGGCCTCACTGGAGTTTCTAGTAAAAGAACCCGAGAACCTTGCCTCCGACGTTCTTTCTCCTGGCTTCTTCGTGGTCCATGATGCCCGCCGAGGTTGTCAGGACGATGTATCCAAACTGCACAATGCATATGCAATTCATTCAACAATGTTGTCACATGTGTTCTACAAGACCATAGCAATGGACAAAAGGGTGTATATGCACGCTACTTTGGCTTTAAGCTACAAGTCTTTTGTTCCAGAAATCAAAATTTGATGGATGATTCTCTTTGGCAATGATCATAAAAGAAGAAGAGTGATGAAGAAGTAAAGAGATAGTTTCCAGGCCGACCTGTCTGGAAGGAAGAAGGCGAGCGGTCCAACCTTCAATCTCCTTAACACCGACGTCAAATCGTGGACTGATGACTCCACACTTGTTCAGCCTTCCGTTTAGTTCAACAACAATCTTACCGGCCCTGTGATCATCGACATACTCAAACTCGCCAATGTATCCTGTGCAATCAATGGCACAAATCACAAAAGGACCAAGAACGGAACAAGCATCACATCATCAGACTCGAAATTACAAAGGGTAAATCCGAATAAAAAGGGATAATGGCTGATACTGCAAATTATCGTATCGTACCGTGCTTTTGCATGACAATAAGAAACTTGATGATCACTTTGGAAGAAGGCCTGATCATGACTTGCCTCTTCCCCCTCTTCTCTGCATTGTACATGCTCTTAAGAGCATCATTCAGGACACTGATTCTCACCATCCTTAAAAATATGCGAGCTGCAACAAATAGAAAACAAATCTGAACCCATTGGAACCGGGAGAAAGAACACGAATTCAAATAAAGTACACCGGCCATATTTGCATTACTGTACAGCCTTTTATAAACAAAAGACAAAATAAACCAGATCAACCATAGAAGCTCTATGAGTAAAATTACAGATACAGTGCCCTTATACGTATATCAAATATACATACGATGACATAGACGCAGAGACGCAAGAGTTTATACACTTCAATGAGCTGACATCTATATGGAAATTCATGTAAACATCATTAAGATATAATTAAATTATAACATTGGTTGCATACAAACAGACCAATATTCGATTACTGTTTCTGTAAATTCTCCTTTTATTTTGGATCAAGATCACCGGTTTGAAGCTCACAAACCACAGAAAAAATCCCAGGATAACCAAACCCAATCTCCGAAACAGGGACTTCCCAAGAGAAACATCAAATTGCATAAGAAATCGCCGAAGATTCACATCGTATTCGAACAGAAGACGAGCATAAATCAGGGTTCCTCTGGATTTTCTAACCTGGAACAGAAGAGGCTGCCGCTCCGACTCTCTCGCTTACCTTCAAGCGAAGTTGAATGCAGCACTGGAAGTCGCACCACGATTAGGGTTTTTGCTTTTATTAGCTGACTCTGAAACTGATTGTACGGATAGATCCAAAGAAACATTTAGGCCTAAAAATCATTTTGGGCCATAAAAGGGCCTTTGTTAATGGGCTTTCATTTACATGTCATCTATCCTAGAGATGTGGACATTTAATAAATTGGAAGCCATCCTCACCATTGATTGGAGCAGCCGAGAAGGTTTAAATATAACGGTTTTAAAATGTCCACGTCATCTATCCTCGTGACGTACTATCAACCAATGGGTCTCTGATTCGTTGCCATATATAAATACTTGAGTTTGGTGAAGAGCACACATCGGAACGTTTTCCAGAATTTCCCCACTCCTGATTGATCTTTGAATTTGTGATTGTTTGTTTGTCCGTTAACAATGGCACCCAAGGCGGAGAAGAAGCCGGCGGAGAAGAAACCGGCGGAGGAGAAGAAGGCCGAGAAGGCTCCGGCGGAGAAGAAGCCGAAGGCCGGGAAGAAGCTGCCGAAGGAGGCCGGCGCCGGCGGCGATAAGAAGAAGAAGATGAAGAAGAAGAGCG